AAGGATTTTACGGTGAGTACAAAAATCCTATTTTTTTGGGAACAAATGAATTTCTAAAAGTGAATGTGGTTTTCATTAGAGAAACTCCACTCATTCCAATATCGAACGTTAGAATCAAATGAAATTTCAGTCGACATTCGTGATGTGTCTGGGAGGTAAAGAGAGATCTTTGGCACAAAAGATTGTTCAGAAATTAACTAGTGTATGGGCAGCTTTGGTGTGCCTGTCTTTTGTACCTGTTTTTTTTTTTTTTTTCCCCGGGATCATGCTAATTCTGGTTTCATAATTAACGTTAGGTACATGAAGTCATTATTGGAATAATTGAAACAAAAAAATAAACACGCTAGCCAACAACTAAAACTATAAATGCATTGCTAATGCTGTTGAGGAATTAATGCAACCGTGTCTCGGTTGGGGAGTTCATCCAGTTTGGTTTTCAAGTTACGTGGTCTAGTTGCTGGTCTGTTTTCTCACAAAACTTCTGGATAGGATTGCAGTGAAAAATCTGACCGTTTCCTTCATTCATGCTACATGGATGAATGAACTTTCTGCTGATTGGCAGCAGACACCATTCGGCCAACAATTTTCCAGCATGTTCCTTTGACATAAGTCAATCTAATGATCTACTTTTGTCAAGGAGATTAGGTGATTGAATTTCACCCGATTTTAGCAGGAATGTCGATCCGTATGTCGTAGCTTTAGTGTGGAGGTGTCATCTGCCCTTCTGTCTGACCATGCAGGGGGCACATCAGGCTGCATAAGGGAATCGGGAGCAAGTGTGTATGTACAGGTGTGGTGTGGGGTAAGGAGTGATGCAGGGCAGACTGCAAAGAACAAAAGGGCATTCATGCCTGAATTCTCTGATCATGTCTGCTGTACTCCCTCTAAGTTTTTTTTTTTTTTAACCACTTGCTGACTGGGGTGTTTACACCCCCTTTCCTGTCCAGACCATTTTTCAGTGTTTTTGCTGCGGTACTTTTACATTTATTCCGTCATGTAATGCTGTACTGAAATTAATTTTATACAATTTTTTGGGGACAGATAGAGCTTTCTTTTGGTGGTATTTAATCACCAACGGGGTTTTAGGTTTTTTTCATTATATAGTGGGAAAAAAAAAAATTTCGGGGAAAAAAACTGTTTTCCCTACGTTATGTTATAAAACAATCATTATTACCCAAATTTTTGGCAAAATATAAAAGACGGGGTCACGTCGGGTAAATAGACACCAAACATGTCAAGCTTTAAAATTGCGTGCGCCCGCGAACTCGCAAAAACTACCATACCTAAAATTGGCCATAGACAATGCTTTAAAAGCATTTACTGCTCATCAGTTTAGTGTTGTCGGTGATTGATGGGCCAAGAATTATTGCTCTGCGACGTTCGCAGCAATATGTAACATGTGCGACGTAATGGATGCAATTTTTGTATGTAAACAGCCATCGCTGGCTGTTTACATTCCAGGCTGATTTCCCGCTGCGGGCACGAGCAGGGCGGGATGGGACTTTTAAAAAACGCCCACCGGCATTCAAGAAGCCGCTGCCCGGCCGTTTAATTACAACGGCTGGACAGCAGGTGGTTAATGTTTCTTTAAGGGCCAGTTTACACCAATTGCGTTTCGTTCCAGTGCGGTAGCTGCTGGAACGCACAGCAATCGCACACTAAACTCCCTCCTTCGTTAAGGGGCATGAGGGGGTGTGGCAGGGCAATTAAGTCAATGGCACCGCAGTCACGCCCCCCGTGCATGCTCTATGTTTTTGCGTTTACACTGGACAGTAACGCAGGCAATGTTTTCGCACTGCGGGTGGGGGGGGGGGGCAAGGCTGCAGTGCCATTCAATGCACCGCCACGCCCACCCTTTAACGAAGGTGGGAGTTTAGTGTGCGATTGCTGTGCGTTCCAGCAGCTACCGCTTTGGAGCGCACAGCAGTTGGTGTGAACTGGCCCTTAAAGTTGTCTTGCTATGCAACTTCATTCATAATATCTATTCAGTTACTGTCCTTGACTCCAAATCTGTTATTGCACATGAAGGGTGCATTGGGTTTTAGAGTGGAAGTTCTCTATGTTCAGTTTTGTAACTTTTGCAAAAGAAATACAATGTCACTAAAATACTGTTTTGGTGAGGCATTTGGACATCTATGAAACAATTTTTTCATATAAAATTATAAAATATGTGGCCATTTTATATATAGATTTAATCTTTAAGTGACCCTTTTGAGAAATATTTAGGATATTATGTAATTTGCTATGTAATGTTACGATTTTACCATAATATGCCTGTAATCTTTAATGTTGTTAAATCCTGCAACCCTTCTACATCTGTACTTTTCTCTGCAGGATTTGGTAGTAAGAAGCCCTTTGTTTCTGGAAGGAAATCTATGTCCAAGGAACCTTATGCTCCACAACCGAAGCCTCCAGGAGTCGAAGGATTTCTTCCCTGGAGAACTGCAGAGAGGGCAAACAGGCACAGGTAACGGCATCCTTCAACTCGAAAACTGTCCACTCTCCTAATGTAGAATTGGCAACACATATTTAGGTAGTTGGGCTTTTTTTTTTTTTTTTTTAACCCTTTTGCTGCCACGAAGTATTACATCCAGAGTTTGTTTACCTTTTTACAATGAGCCGTTGGCTCACATCAAATGCAGACCTAAAAATGCAAAACATAATATAAAATGGCAGCACAGAAGTGTTACTCGATTCATAGGAGATTTATACTCCAAGAGAAAGTCCATATCAAACGTTCTTTATTAAATAATCTCTAGTAAATCTTATAGATCTAGTAAAGATATAGAAATCTTATGTCATATCACCAACCCATTAAAATAAGACAACATTGCCTGTAGAACACATGCACACAATTTCTTAGCTTTAGGAGTCCATGCAGCCTACAATTAGTATAAACAGCAAATCCGCTTTCTTGTTTACATCAAATATTGGCTGCACTGATTCCAAAAGTTGAGAAATTGGAGTTGATTTGCTATTGCAAAGTGAGCATGCTGTATATTTATAGTAAATCAGCCACAATGTGTGCATGTGTTCTGAAGACAACATTGTCTTGTTTTTTTTGTGGGTTGCTGATGGTGATTTATTACATTTTTATAAATGTGTTTTGTGATAGATCATTTAATATTGCGGAGTGCAAGAGTAGATATCCATAAAGCATGATAGGAGAACTCTCAATTGTCTGTGCATAAATGAATGCTTGCATTCTCCCTTTCTCTCTGACAAGCATAATGGCTTGTTCATACCACGTTCGGATCATTTCCAGACCAGAACAGTTTGTTGCCGACCAAAAAAGCATTCCAGTGTATTACTATGGTATTTCTGGGCTCTGTTCACACCATCACAGTCTGTTCCAGTCCAGACCCCCAAAAAATACTGCTTGTCTTATTTTCTCTAGTCTGGAGTGCATGGAAACGCATAAAAAACACTTGCAAACGAACTGGACTGCACCTGAAAGCCAACTTTAAGCTTAAAAAAAAAAGCGTCAAAATTGCGGTAAACACGCTGCAAAACGCACTGGACTGCGGTTGCAGATCTGGTCCGGACATGGTGTGAACATAGCCTTAAGCCTGTTTCCAGGGGGAAAAAACAAACTACTCTTGCAGTGGGGCTACCCCCGCACTGCAAGGGTCAACTGCTTATTTTTATCTAGGGGTATTGTGTAAAGAACTGTGTAAAGCTGTCCCTCAGGGCTGAACGAGAAAAAATTCACAATGTATGGGCAGCCTCACTTACCTGATCTCTGATCCGGCAGCCAGCGCTCACCTCTTTTCCCTATTATCCAGCTTGTGGACTGTCCGTCAGCATACTTACATCTAATGTAAGGCTCATAGCTCTGCATTACATGTGAAGAGGTCAGTGGACCACAAACCCAAGGATCAGAGGGGAGGGAGGCTTTGGATGCTAGTCTTGGAGCTTGCAGAAGCAGGGATCAGGTAAAAAAAAAAGTCCTCTAAACAATACGCATAGACAAAAGTGAGCGAAAATCGTAACTCTCAAGCAACCAGCCCCGTGGTGCTCCACTTCCCTATTCACCTGCCGGCTAGCTTCCGCAGTCGGCAGGTGAATGTAAACGACCGGGATCAATAGCAAGAGTGCTATTGGCTATTTCAAATTAAAATAGCCAATAGCAGGCTAGAGATTGCACCCGTCCACTGAGCAGAAGCGGACCTGAGAGAGAACTTTCTCTCTCAGGACTCCTCCTCCTTTAATAGCCAGCCTGCTATTGCAATTTGAAATAGCCAATAGCAGTCTTGCTATTGATCCCCATTGTGTACTGGCTGCTGCCGACTGCGGCAATACAGTACACAAAAGTACACTCTTCAGTTTAGGACACGATCAGGTTATGATGGGTTTATCAGAACGTAACCCGATCGTAAACTGAGGAGTGTCTGTATTATAGTGCTGCTTTGTTCAGTACTTTAAAGAGGAACTTCACCCTTATCTTAAAAATGACAACAAAGGCACATTTAGAAATGTTTAGTAATGATAATCTACAAACAGATACAGATAATTGCCAGCTTTTTATTCTTTGCATATCTTATTTTTCTTTTTCCTCCTCATTCTTCTCCCAGTGTCCATTTTTAATAAGGGCAGATTAATCCATATCCCTTTACTTCCTGAAACTCTGGGTCTGCCTTATGGAACATGTGACAGTGTACATCATCTCAAGGGAAATAATACCTCCCCCAGATTTTGTAGTTTACGGAGGAGATTTCATAGGAAGGCACTGGTGATGTAACCTTCCCAGGATGCATCTGTGAGGCCAGGGCTACATCACTAGTGTCTCAGTCAACCGGGAAGTGGGAAAACATTGATTGTAAGTCAAAGAAAAACATGTTTGTTTAAGTAATTCATGTAAGATGATTTTATATCAGCATGCAGAGCTGATTTTTAGTTAAAGGGGTAAAGGTCCTCTTTAACCACCTTCCGTCCATGGCCGTTTGTGAACGGCCAGACGGAAGTCTGCTAGGAGCGGGAGGGCATCTTAAGACGTCCTGCCCCTCCCCCCCTCTCGTGTGCGGCACTCAGCGCGCACACGAGAATCCACCAAAAGAAAGCTCTATGTGTCCCCAAAAAATGGTATGAAATTCGTATCAGTACAGCGTTGCATGACTGAATAAACATCAGTCAAAGTACTGCAGCGCTGAATACTGAAAAATGGCCTGGCCAGGAAGGGGGTGAAACACCCCGGTCTTCAAGTGGTTAAGTGTAACACGCCTATATTCTTGCTGTTGCTGTAAAGTCTTCTTTTTTTGCCAAGATCATATTATGACTGTAAATGTCTACTATGTCGCTGTCTGTTAAAAAAAAGAAATGGATTCAATAAAATGTACTTTTGTTTTATCTTTAGAGAAATGTCCTTGGACTGTATTCCATATTCTCCCATGCAGGTAAATAATTTATACAGTTATATGCAGTGTCCTTGCATTATACACACAGCAGTCAATACAATTAGGAAAATGGTATGATGTGGATGATATTTCAGAGATTTCTTGAAGCTACACATATACCTGTATTGACTGCCTGACCTGGCTGATATTGTATGAAGAGAGAGAGAATCCTCTTTTCTGTACGGAGCAGCAAATAAATCAGCCAATTGTGAGGAAAGTAGCAGGCAGCTGGGTTGGCTATTCTCAGGCAGTCTTCTTCCCCAGACATACACCAGGGTTGTGTGACTGTTTCCATGCTTCATATACATATCCGTCATCCATGAAGCATGTTTATAGTTGGATCACGTTTCAGGTATCTGATCCTGTTCACAAGTCTGGTTGTCATCTAGTGTCTTAGGCTACATTCACACTAGGTGCGATTAGATGCATATATATGCGTTTAACCACTTCCCATCTGACCATTGTAAATAAACAGCCGGCCGGGACACTCTTGAATGCGGGTGGGCATTTTAAAACGTCCTCACCCATGCTGCTTTTGCGCGCATGAGCCGGAAACCGTAGTCTCTTCAAACGGCTGGCCCTAGGTGTCATTAGGGTTCTAATCAACCCATGATGTCTCCATAAAGAGTATCTGTCATATCCTTTTTGCTATCACATAAGGGGCTTGTTAGTCCCCTATGTGATGGCAATAAAGTTAGGTGTAAAAAAAACAAAAGTTTTAAAAAGTAAGTCACATATCAAAAAAAACAGTAAAACATGTTTTTTAAGTCCCCTGCTCACCACATACACGCACATACAAACGTGAACATGTGTCCGGTGCACCAATGTGTGAAAACAATGAATGTACATAACACACGTTACATATCATTGTGAATGTTGGAGTGCGAGTAATAATTCTAGGCCTAAGTCTGTTAACACTAGATTTATGAATGGTAAACGCTTTTAAATCGTCGCCTACGGACAGTTTTGGGGATGGTAGTTTTTTTACGATTTTCGCGGGCGTGCACAATTTTAAGGCTTGACATGTTTGGTCTTTACCCGACGTGACCCCGTCTTTTATATTTTACCCAAAAATTGGGTAATACGGCCAGTTTTGGGGATGGTATTTTTTTTGCGATTTTTTAAATTTTTCTATCTGTCCCAAAAGAAATGGTATAAAATTAATTTTAGTACAGCGTTGCATGACGGAATAAATGTCAAAGTACTGCAGCGCTGAAACATTTAAAATGGCCTGGACACCAAAAATGGAATACCACAATAGAATGGAAGACCACCCCGGTCTTCAAGTGCTTAAAATGACCTCCATTGGATCTATTGACACCTTTGCACTTAGATGCTTTTTCTCGGCAGTCAGTTTAGCTGCGTTGAGAAAAAAGTCAAGTGATTTGAACCTCTAAAACGCGTGTAAATGCAAGACGTGTTTATTTGCTGAAGTCTCATTGGCTACTTCAATTGACTGTTTCAATGGACACAGGACAGATGCATCAAAACGCGTATGCGTGAACGTGCGTCATTTTGAGCATTTAGAAGCATAAACCAAGCCTGACAGTTTTTGCAGTGCATAGTAGAATGTGTTCCTGTCTTGCAACATCATCATCTTGGTGCACTACTGCAAACCCCTACTGTGCCAAATGTTGCCAAACTCATTTTTCTGAACCATTTTTTATTTGGGGCAGATCGTGAGACTTCTTGTGTGAAAAGCTGCACTTGGAATTTTTTTTAACAATTGGTGAAATTGTTGCATCTTTCTTTTTCAAACCCTTCAAATCGAACTGTATAGTGCATCCAAAAAAGCATTTTTACTGTGCACCAAATATTTGGCGATCCGACAATAGCTTATCTATCCCCTTTCTCGATTTGAGAGGACAGTTTATTATTGACCTCAATAAGCAGCAAATACTTTCCTTTCCCACACTCCTACGCTGCACTTATTTGCTGCCAGACTGCCTAAGATTTCTGATCAAGTTGAAGCTTACACAGGACTATGCTCGCCCTGCCTCAAAATGTCAGTGCTCAGGCCTGGTGATTGCCACCGTGCTGCATTGTGAGGTTGCAGAAGCAGTGTCACATGTGCAATAAAACATGGATTACTGGGTATTTTTTGGGCAGCTTGGGGAAGGTGATAAATGGTATCTCACGTAAAAGTGTTTCCTTAGTGTTGCATAGAAAATAGGGTAACAAATAAGATGACTGAAGTGCAACATTGCCAATCATTCGTTTCATAAATCTGCAAATCAGTTCCATTTCTATCTATTATCAACAAGCTAATGGTGGTAATTGGTAAAGAGCATTTAATAAACGTAACCAGGTCTTCTTTGTGCCTCATACTTTTAATCCGGGGGCTGCCAGCTGAAAGTCCATCTCCTAGACATTCATTGGGGAGAATTTATTAAAACTGGAGCAGACAAAATCTGGAGCAAATTTGCACTGCAACCAATCAGCATCTCTGTCTCATTTTCAAGTCTTACCTGCGCAAACTGAAGAGAGATGCTGATTGGTTGCCATGGGCAACTGCTCCAGATTGTGTCTGCTCCAGTTTTGATAAATTCCCCCCATTGTATTTTCTGATCTTAGGAGAAGTGATTGTTGAACTTGCTACCACTAGAGGTCAGTAGCAGTTCATCAGGAAAAATATAAGGCCATACCACAACCAATGGCGAGCGCTATTTAATACATTTATGCCTTGAGAAAGTTCCTAGGACCTCATAATATGCTATTCAAAAGTGAATCCTAAAGGGCTCATTCACACCAGATGTGTTAGGACCACAGTGTTGTGGTGGTGTACTGCATGCAGTGTGTTGCAATGCAAACCATCGCTGCGGTTAATTTAACCGAGTGAAATGTTACTTTGTATAACTTGTGACATTTCAATAAAGTTCTAACAAAGTTCCAACAAAGTGCATCATCATTGTTTATGCCAGCACTCACCACTGGCCATGCATTCAATGGCTAGTGTAAACCAAACCCTTAAAGTCATATGTGCAGCTGACCCAAATGTCTAGGTTTTCCAACTGCCTTACATGTAGATAATATATTGATTGCTAGCAATGTTGTTGAAGCCAATATATTTTTAAGGGTCACACTTTTAAATATGTTGGGTTAACGATTTGGGAGCTGCATATTTTTAATAGCACAAAATTCAGGGCTGTCATCTTTATCCTTCCTAATGGCCATGGTTATATTTGGGTAATGACATCAGCCAGCATCCCCAGCCCCTTTGTTTACAATTACACATCCCTTGCTCCATTCAGCTGCGGACCAGAAAGTTCCCCAGTTGACAGCTGAATGAGGCCGGGGATGCATAATTAGTTGCCAGGATGCCGGCACCCCGGCTTTCAGGCAGCTGAATGGGGATGCATAATTGGTTGCCAGGACACTGGCAGCCTGGTGTGCTGGTAACCAATGAACTATGACTTTCATGACCGCTTTCTAGCACATACAGTATATGTCCCACTCTGAGCACTGGCATCTCTCTGTATGCCAGATCAGTGTTGATCTTAATTACCACCAGCTTTATCATCTTTAATCTGGTGGTCCTTTTTAAAAAATAGAGCCAGAAAAGTAGCGCAAAGCCTTTATTAAATTCTCTCCCCCCTCCATATTCTGTGTAATTTACTGTTTACATGTTACTTATGAGTTTGTAGTAGCACACCAGTATTGCATTCTGTGTTTGCATTCATAATTATGCATATTTTATCTTTTTACAACCCAGGTCAGACAATCCTTATTGCCAGCTCTTAGGTAGACTGATTGCCTATCTCATTGCAATGACATTTGATATGATGTTTAAAAATGATGAACAATTGTAAACTGCTAAAGCTGCACAGACAGCTATGCAAGTGGGTTAAAGCCCAGTCCAGGCAATAAGGATTGTCTGACTTGCAGCCAGATTCAGTAGTTTTTTTTATTGTGCTTGTGTGTCACATGATACTCTGCTGTACACCTCTTTAATATGCACCAGTATCTGTGGGCAGGGCTGCGGTTGGCTCAGAGTGAGGGCATTGCTGAAACCATGAAATGCACCAGCCTGCATTTTTCCAGGCACAGATTTAGGGCCATACATAGGGAGAGGATCCTGGCAGACAGGGGTGTTTAGCTTGTAAGGTAGGCTTGTACAGAAGATGAATGCAGGTTGACTGTATCAGCTACCTACTCATAACGTTACTGCTTGGTTGTGATGTACTGTATATATAGGATACCTACACATTGTATTCATTTAAACTTTTTCTCTAGGTTATGTTGCAACAATTCCTCCATTGCCTTTTCTGTACTAGAGCAACAACAGTTGGATGTCCAATGTCTAGTGCTGTTAATTCTTTTTATATTAGAACTGTCTCTGTTTGGGTCATCATACAGTCATGTCTATCTCCCCTCACATAATCTTGGTACCAAGTGGTATGCCCAAGCTGATAATGATACCTGGTCCCTAGGTTTAGCAGCCAAATCTGCCACTGTATAGCCACTATACAGAATATTTTACTTAGAAATTAAAGCATTTAATTATTATTATTAAATAATACAACAGTATTGTTTGATGTGTTAGCAAGTTTGTACACCAAACAGTCCTCAGTGAGTCATGTATTGGCCGTACATGCGAACGCTATTACATTATAAAAGATGTACGGTACCTGCAAACCTTTAGTCCTCATTCACACTACTAAGAGCCGGCCCATACAGATCCGTGCGGCGTGCATGGCCGTATCGGGCCGCTCCCGGGAAGGACTTCTTCTCTATGGGAATAAGCGGCCATTCGCTCACCCAAACTGCACATCTGTGCGGGTGTCTGTGCTCCGATCCATCCTGTCTACAGAGACCCGCATGGATGTGCAGTTCGGGTGAGCGTACGGCCACGTACTCCCATAGAGAAATGATTGCATGAATGAATAAATTATATAATTTTTTTTCTGAATGGTTCGTCTTGGGTACCTTTCATGAGCATATGTCTTTGTTATGTTTAATATGTCTTTATGGAATGTTTCTATATTCTGTTATCAGACAGGTAGTCCAGTGAAAGTGTCTGTGGATAGTGAGAGCTCCTGTGACAGTGATGAATCTGAGGGTTCTGCAGACCTTATCATTGACAGATCCAGGGTGTCTGGGACTCCAGAGAAGAGGGATGCGAGAAACTACAAGCGTTTGCAGGTAGCATACTTTCAGTATATACATGTCCTCCTCTTTTTGGTTAAGGCTAAACTCCTTGCAGACCACTAAATATACAGTTGAAGTGCATGAGCTGTTTTACCTGCCAAAATATGTAAATTATGTTCAACCACCCTTGTTATTTAGACACCCCTGCTAGATAGCATATAAAGTTTGCTCACCAGCCTCCTGATAGGATAATGAGAAACAGTAGACTGATGAGGTCATCCCTGTGTTTTTTTTCCCCCTGTATAAATGATCAGGAAGAGATAATGACTGCATCTTGCATTGCAGTAGATCTCTGATTTGGCTTAGAGTGCTGACAATCCTTTTCCCGGTCTAAAATGTAATGTTGGCAAGTCAGATTCAGGAATGTATTTTACTTTTTAATTATTTTATTTTTATTAAAAGCCTAACCAAAATAGATTTTTTTTCTTCTATCGCCTGGTGCTCAGCAATAAAGAGATGCTATAACTTTGCCTATTCAGAGGAAATTGAGAGCGTCTGCAGCTAGCCCACATCCTCTGATCTTTATACTTTCAGAGTCATACTCCCTTGCTGCACCGCCACTCTCCATCCCGCCCCTGGATGCGGGAAGCCGATCGGAATGATAAACAGTGCAATCCAGAGGCTGACTGCTCTGGAACGTACTGTTTATGGTGTGAACCGGCCCTCATAGCTGTTACCAACATATCTTGACAAAGTGTCGGTTCACACCATAAACAGTGTGTTCCAGATCCGGTCAGTCTCTGGAACGCACTGTATCGCATTCTGGCCAGCTTCCTGCGGGAGGGAGCGTGTCGGTGTGTTGAAGTCAATGGCACGGCAGCCACACAGACAGTGGTCTAAGGGGCATCATGAAAACATGCGTTATACATACAGTTAGGGTGATTGATCCTAGTACTATTTACCCTTTTTTCTACACAGATGCCCTTTGCAATCTTTGGAACAAGCCCAGTTGCATCCCATTGCTCCCTAATCACACCTGGTTTTATTTTATCAATCATTTTAATTAAAGAGGTTACTTTCAATAATGATAACGTGACCCTAAAATACAGACAGGCTGAATGAGGTCTAGAAAACTGTGTGTGCTGCTAGTTTCATGACAACTGACTGCAAAGAAAAGCTCTCTGCTGTATAGGTCTAGTGTATACCAACCATCTCTGCACCCTGGTAGTTCCGCCACTGAGTGTATTCCTTGAATTCTTAAAGTATTTTAAAGGCGCCTATTTCTTGTTTACTAGGCTGCATTGGAGGAATGCCAGCTAAGACTAGAAGAAGAAAGGAAAGCAAGGTTAAGCGCTGATGACAGGATAATGGAGGTAATGTATTATTATTATTTTTTTTTTATTGCTATCATTAGTAATATCCACAGTCTTTACATTAAAAAATTCTGACCTTGTTGCATAATTACATTTGCCTTAGTATAGAAAGTGGCTATTCTGCTGCTGTTTGAGGATTTTCTACCAGCACAGCAGTTTTTCTCTTATTAGCAGATACTGTTCAGGGTGACTTAGAGAAAACTTGGTGGAGGGCAAAGATTACAGCTGCCCTCTGAATGAAGATTTCCTCCGTAAGTGAGTTTCTTAGACAGCTGGTTACATATTTAGCTTCGGTTCACAAGTCATAAAAATGACTGTCCTCTATAAAAGCAATTGTTATCATTCTTATTGCTGAATTAAAGTCTGAATGAAGCCAGTGAGATGCAACAGAAAGTGAGAGAATATCTCTGCAAAGTAAAAGGGAATCTTCTCTTGGTTGTCACTGGAACAAGTGCCCTCTTTGGAAATTTCTGGTCTATTCTTGTTCCGTTGATAACTTAAAATGATGGATTTCCCATCATTTTTGTCTCAGTAAAAATGGTCACCAGGACAAATGGAGAGGGTGAATCTCAATAAAAACTGACAGAGGCTCTAATCAGTCACCACTTTATCAAAAACACATGAACCAATGGAAGTCAAAACTGAGTCGTAGAGTAGCTATAGAAGAATGAGTCTGTTGGCGGAGGTGAGTTAAAGCATCCGCCTTTCATTTTCGACGGAGCTTGATAAAGATAGACTGAGCTCTATTGAAATGCTTTGACTTATCTCATCGGCAAGGCCCATGGCTGTATAACTGCTTTGGACATATACACAAGTGTATTATTCGACAAGGCACTGCTTGTCTTTTTGAGACTCTCATCTTGAGAAAGACAAGTCGTGCTTGACAAAATTTCGACCAATAAATTTATGTTGCTACATTACAAGACCTGTGAGTGCCTCTTCCACTGGACCATTTGTATCTACTTGGCTTGAGTGCACCTGAGCAGCTTTCACACTTATCTAAATGTGTAGAGGCAGTCAGGGGTTTTGTAATGTAACAACATAAATAAATATATTGGTCCACGTTTCAACAAAGCGCTTCTTGTCTGAGTATCTTGAGAAAGACAAGCAGTGTCTTGTTGAAACGTCGACCAAACATTCAATGACATTCCAACCATGACATTATGACAACCCGCCTAATATTGAGTAGGTCCCCTTTTTGCTGCCACAACAGCCCTGGCCTGCTGAGGCATGGACTCCACTAGACCTCTGAAGGTATGCTGTGGTATCTGGCACCGACCGTTAATAGCAAATCCTTTAAGTCCTGTAAGTTGTGAGGTGGGGGCCTCCATGGATCAGACTTTTTTTTTCCAGCACATCTCACCCTGACCGGTCTGTGGCTTACGCAGCCCCATAAATAACAAACTGCGATGCACTGTAAATTCAGACACCTTTCTTTTGGAGCCAGCATTACTTTTTTTCAGTAATTTGAGCTACAGTAGCTTTACTGATCAGACTACACAGGCCAGCCGTCGCTCCCCATGTACATCATTGAGCCTTGGCTACCCATGAACCTGTTGCCAGTGCACCAGTTTTCCTTTCTTGGACCTAGTAGGGCCTGACCACTGCAAAGTGGGAACATCCCACAATGACTGTAGTTTTGAAGTTGCTTTGACCAAGTTGTCTAGCCGTCACAATTTGGCCGTTGTCAAAGGTGCTCAAATCCTTACGCTTGCCCACTTTGTCTGCTTCCAACATATCGACTTCTGGGACAAAATGTTTACCTGCTGCCTAATATACCCCACCCACTTCCAGGTGCCATTGTAATAAAATAATCACTGCTATTCACTGCACCTGTCAATGGTCATAATGTAATGGCTGATCAGTGTTTATACACCATGCAGTTTTCTTATAATATATGAGAGTGTTGCTTTTAATGTACGTATTCTTAAGCTAATCAAGCTGTAAAGAGATACAAGATGAATTACACCCCAGGAAGCCATTTGCCATTCATTGACGTAATGCTAGTGTGTGAGAGATAATGATCAGCTAGTTATTTATGCTGTGAAACGTTTAAGAATAAAGGGAGAAGGGTCATTAAGATAAAGAATTATGACTTGTCTATCATTGTCAATTGCTGCATGCTTGTCCTGGTTGTAAATCAGAAGTTCTGAACTAGCAGTTTCCGAAAGAGGTGAGATCTCTGTCACGTACAACTTATAATCCATAACGACCTATGACAAAAAATATTGGATCCTCACTTTTGTTTCCTCTGACTTCTTTTTTTTATTTCAGCTGGAAGTTGAAAATACCCGATTAAGACAAATCAATCACACTCTTTCAGAAGCACTTGAGACGCGAACGGTAACGTCTGTGCTTTTGGAGGATGAAGGAGTTCTTGACAGCATAGAAAGATCCTTCAGTAAATTCCACGCTTTCCTGGATCTTTTGAAAGATGCAGGGTAATTGTATGATGTTATTTAATGCACAAGCATCAGTTGGACCTGATTTAATTACTTATGCTTATTTTGCTCTAGGAAGTTGCATGTTACATTAGAATGTGCTGATGTGGGATGTGGCACCCCTTATACCTCCCTTAATCACTCAATACTCTAGAAAGTTGATGCACTAGATCTGATGTACGAGAACACAGGTGCCTACATGTGTGCAGATTACATGTAGATAAGGCTTATTTTAGACTTTGGCCTCTAATAACAGAACATTGCCACCACTGGATGCGGACAGACATCTGCTAGGATATCGAAAGTGATGTGATCTTTGAAAGGCCACATTGCTGCGTGTGTGATTACATCCATCGCCCTTTGCACAATAAAGCTGTTTGCACTTTTACAGACCCACATTTTTCAGACTTCAAATTCTATTTCATCATATATGGTAGCTACACCTGCTATTGGTTGACTGTGTACTTAATGGAATTTTGTCTCAGTCTGATGCTAAGGTTAGGGTTCTTGGGGGACCGACTTCAGGAGACTGTTCAGAGCTACACTCTGGCTGCTATCATTGATTTGTCCAGGTAGCTACAGGATAGGTCAAATGATGCTGAATAGAAATGAATCGTCAGTTTTGATATTGCTATGAAAATAAGTGGTATCCTGCAGAGTTATTGTTTTAGAACTGTGGTTTCATTTGCTGGACTGCCTTTTACATGGAGGTTGGAGAGTCTGGAGCTTAATAAGGAATTTGTTTAATGGACCCTGTCATATACATTTATGCACCCCTAGTGTGTACATTTCACATTATCCTGCGGTTCTGCATGCTTGCTGGTGTGTGAGTTTATAAGATCGCCATTTTATTAATGCACATATTGAAGACTAGAGAAAACATTGAGGAATATAAATTGACTTTGTATTATGTTTGCTAGGGAGCTCTCTGCCAGGTAGTGCTTGACTGCAGTAACTGCATGAGAAATAACCCACCCTGATGATACTTTATTGTTTCTGACTGCACCTAATGATGGTATTCATTAACTCTGCTGGATAATAGTGCTGTAGCCAGCTTACAGTGCATGTCAGGTCTTCTGTGTAATCTGTTTGAATATTTGATGTGTCTGGTGGAAAATGCTACTAATACAAGATATGATCAACTACAGACAATTAGCTGATGTGCCTAATGTGGAAATTACCCTGACAATGCGATTCCTTAGGAATGAAGTAAAAATGCATCTCTATTTATAATGCTTTTCTCCACAGAAAATCCTTCAAACATAAACTGTGTCCCCAAGCACCCCTAACCTATAAACTGTCCTTAATGTTCAACCTGATCCTAACATTTAACTCTACCTCTGTTTGAACGCTAAATGCCCAGTTACACCAAAATGCAATGCATGCATTTTTGTGCGTTAAGGTGTGCTACATTAGGCGACCCATCCAAAATGAATAGGTTGTAGCGCACATCATTTCATGGAAAAATAGGGATTGCTGCAGCGGGTGCATTGTTCAGGTGCAATTTAAATGTATTGCATTACCTCAAATGTCCAGTGTGAACAGGCTCCAGTACGCAACTTAACCCTTTGTCAGCTGGAAGCACTTTTGTAGCTCCGTACGACGTACGTCCTTGGCAGCGAAAGGGTTAAACTTGATGTATATTCAAAAAGTGAAGATTTTCTATGTAATAAAACCTCAACATAATTGTCTATTGTTGTACTGGAACCCGGATGGCTGTGCTCAGTTGGCAACCCTGGTCCCTAAGGGCCAGTTCACACCAGCTCTGGTACGTTACAGCACGATTCTCTGCTAGAGCGCATCCCGACCGGCTTCCTGTGTTTAGGGAGGGGGTGTGGCGGTGCGTTTGCCCGCACCGGAACGTGTGGCACATCAGTGCTTGCATTCCGGTCCAGTGCGATCTGAAAAAATAGTGCATGCTACATTGTTTCAGATCGCACTGGACCAAAACGTAAGCACTAATATGCCATGTGCCCTGGTGCGGGGGGTGTCTGCGGTGCCATTGACTTCAAAGCACCGCCACACCCCCTCCCGCCCCTGAACGCAGGAAGCCGGCTGGGATGCGCTCCAGTAGCGACTCCTGCTGGAACGCACCGTAGCTGGTTTGAACCAGCCGATGATTTGAACCAACAAATACACCTTTAGTAATGGCAATCTACAAACACATACTTATAGATAACTGGAAGATTTCTATTCTTTGCATGAATTATTTTTAGTTAACTCCCCATTTTTCTCAATGTGGCCATTTTTACTAAGGGCAGATTAATATATCTCCCTTTATTTCCTGGAACTCTGGGATATGTGATTAGGACATGTGACCATGCACATCATGTCAGGGGAGGAAAATGCCTTTTGAAATTACAGATGAGATTTCCTAGCAATGCCCTACTGATGTAACCTTCCCAGAATGCAATGCTTGGGGCGCTTGCCCAAGAGGACCAGGAAGTGGAAAAACAGTAATTGAAGTCAAAAGAAAAATGTTTAACTAATGTATGCAAGATGATTTCATATCAGCATGCAGAGCTGATTTTTTTGTGAAAGGGGGTAAACGGTAAAGGTTAATTATGCTCATAGAATCTAAACATTTTAAAATAATAACTTCAACATCTATAGGTTTGCGTTATTAACAATGGTTCTAGTCTGTTCTAATTGGTGAACAGACAATAATAAAAAAAAAACTAGTATGGAAACACCCAAAAGCCAAATAATTCTGGCAGCCTTATGTTTGCTGTTGAAGCTCAACATTCAGTAGTTACACCTGCTACTAACTGCCTATTGTTTGGGGCAAACAGATTTATGTGGTCGTGACTAATTGCTTGAATGTGGAATGTACTGCATAAGATGGACAGCATTTTTACTATATGCAATCATTGACGCTACTTGTACTGCCCCCCATATCACCAGGCACTTTCTCGGTCCTGGTGATGTCGCTTAATCTCTCTGATGTTTGACCACATCTGCATTATTTTCAAAACTTTCTGGTTTACTTGTGTTAAACACAGTCATTATAGATTACTACATAGCAGGAAGCAGAGCCGGCATATGCGAAAATATGCCTCCCCCAAGAATATGAACAGAAAAAGGATTTATGAAACTTTAACACTTATTATGCTGTCAGTATTCACATTTTTAAAGCTTTTCTCTCATTTCTTGCCTGGCTGTCACTGGGACAGGAAGTAAGGGAAAAACCTACCCAAAGGAGAAACAAACCGTAAAAAAAAACCCTACTTTTTAGAAGAGTGCGGAAAAGTTAGAACCTTGTTCAAGTTTATTTTTTAAAATATTGCTGTGTTCCCCTTGAGTAATTTTCCCCTTACTACTTTTAATTGACACCTTGTGCGTCAGGTTGTGAAAGTGTGCACTGGGATAGAAACCAAGGTAAAAGTCTCATGAACATACACATAGACAGTAACAAATACCTGACAAAAATTCTAACTCTTCCTAACTCTAAGGCACCGTTCACATTGAGCGATTTTATCGCGCGGTAATTCCCGCGATATCGCGGCTATTTACCGCGCGATATCGCGCTCCAATGTTTGGCAATGGGGCAAAGGGTCCTGCTGTCGCGGGCCGTGTGTGGCTACAGCAGGACCCTTTTTGGAGCGGATTTTGCTGCCATTCAATGCTTTTTCGCGCAGTGTGAATGGGGCCTAAATCCAAAAATAAAACAAAAAAGTGGCTGAAGCCTCTCCTATCTATGTATCTATCTTTTTTTAAACATCTTTTATTCATATTGGAGTTTCTGTTGTGCATAGAATTTACAATAACATTAATAGAATTCAGTAATGTAGTGAAAATCCATATTTTTATGTTTTCAGCTTGGGCCAGCTTGCCAGTATGGCAGGCATTGAACAGTCTGACTTTGCCCTGCCAGGGGATCCACAAATGTCTTCAACAATTGGACAAGCTCAACCATCCTCCTCTGAAACCCACAATGACCTGCAAAAAACCTTCCTACTTGACCGGGTAATCAGAAATGGTGTTAGGATATTTCAGATGATGATAATGGTTGATCATTTCATCATCACTATCATTTTTCTCAAATCCCGAAAAACAAAATCTGCTTTAACTGTTGAAGCTGTTTCTTCTATGAATATGGAAGACAAGCACACACTCATGCTACTGCACCTAAACTGGTTGCATGTGATCCTAATTTTAGATAAAACAGTAACTCTTTCTGTGAAAAAACTATAGTTGCTGTGTATAGTTCCCCCAGTCAGGTACATGGGGAAGAATTATAGAAAATGTGAACTGTTGGTGGCCATATGTTATGGCTCAGCAAATGTGTAGCAGAGATTGAAAGCACTCCAATACCAGGTTACTATATTTTGCCTTTTGTAAGCTGTACTGGTAGTCAATGTATGTGATATACTGTATATGTTTGTTAGTTGTGGTGTTGGGGGTCGAAGGGTTCAGGCTGCAGCAAACACCAAAAACACAACTTGCTTAACTGAAATCTGTGCCCCTATACTGGTTTGGGTGAACCCTGACACATTTTTTTAAATTAATTTGTAACATTAATTTAATTCATGAATTTGTGACATGTCAAAATACAGCAACAGTATAACAGTGGAACTCCCAGGCTGGTAAAAAAAAAAAAAATAGGTCTTACCTCCTAACATATGAAGAAGGTAATGCTTGTTTTGTCTAATACAAAGTATTACTTAACCCATGGTCCCGCGACAGCTGGTACTCCAACCTTCTTTTCCCCAATGCCAAAGCGTGGGTGGGCCTTTTAAATCATCACACACGATACAGGACCAGCGGTAGGAAGCATACATTTTTTTTATACTACCCAGATCATTTCTCCAGCATTTAAATAAACCAAATGCAGGAGGCTAGTTTGAACATACCTTAAGGAGGAGTGATCACAGCTTCTAGTTCTTGTAATCTTTAATATAACTTGTGGGTGCAGTATATGTTTTTATTTTCAGGGAAAGCATTGCACTTCTGAAATGTTATTGTATTTATATTGTGTGGCTGGGTTACACATAAACTGTGCTTTCCAGAGTTGATCTTTAAGTTATTCCTTTTTTTTCCCCTCCTGGCACAGAGAAGAGATAAGGAAGACCCCCCTCCAAGTCTTTCCGTAGAATCCCATGTCATGGCTGCAGCAGCCTTCCCTCCTCCTGGTGAATCTGATAAAATTCACGCCAGCAGCTTGAAGAGCAAAGAGTTTGATCTTCCTATAAAGGATTTGGAGTCACACAAGAACAGCACGATGCCTTCTGAACAGCAGAATACAGATGGTTTAAAGAGAGCCTACCTGTCGGAAAAGAAAGGAGCTGGTAACGAGTGCTCTGCTTCAGATTCCAGCAAAAGCAGGAAAAGTAGTGCAAGTAAAAAGTCCAAAGATTCATCTAGCGGAAAGGATAGAAGGCAATCTTCAAAAAGAAATCTTTCTGTGGCCTCGTACAAGGTTTGTTCTGAGGATGCTGGACATCAAAACGGTCACAAAAGTTCACCTTTTTCTGATGTCAGTGAATCAGAAATCCCAGAAAACCTACACTCCACCAGCCACAGCGGTTTAGAATGAGCAGTGATCGTTGACTTAACTTTGATCAAGTTTAATCTTTCCTTTTGCTGAACATGTTTACCTAGAAGTGAATGGGCCCTGCTGAAATGCTGAAGTTGTTTTCAGATTGGCTCCATGGTAGTTTTATTCACTCCCAGTAATAAAAAAAAACCCATGAAAATGACAGCTTGAAACAGCTGATCTAGTTGCAAAAAGTAATCAAATTTGGCTGCAGAGTACACAGTTAGCTGGTAATGCCGTGGGCTAAAAAGACTACTTGACTCTTAGGGGTCTATTTATAAATATCTGTAAATGTTGGTTTTGTGTGAATAATGGCAAAAACGAATGTTCAAAATGGAACGGAAATAGAATGGAATACTTATTTTCTATGCTCCTCAGCTCCATCTAGTGGCTATAGTGCAGTGCTACATCACAATACAATGAACCTGAAAAGTACATTTTTGGCCATTATTCGCACAAAACGAACGTTCACAGATATTCGCAGGACGAAGGGCCCTGCAGATGGTTTATAAATAGAGCCATTTATGAGCAATTGTGAAATGTTGCCAGATTTTGAATTTGAAATGTGATACAAACCAAAGTGATTGATTGCTTTCAGCAAACCTTTTTTGACTTTTTTTTAAAACTATTTGCTATTTTCATGTTTTTGCAGCATATTTGATCTGGGTGCAATAAGAAGGTAATTTTGTATTTGTAATATTTATTAGTGCTTATTTCATTTTTTTCTTAAGGTTTGTAAATAAAATTATTTATGTAATTTGTCTGTGCTGTCACGTTATTTTCAAATAAATGGAAGCCTGGTTTATTTTATTCATATAGCACTCTTTACCCTCTCCACCACATAGGTAATGTTAAAAAATTAGGGATGCACCGATGCAGATACTAGTATCAGTATCGGTGCTGAGTATTTAAAGATTTCCTCTGACCAGCAGTGCCATAGGGAAACATAGAGCTTGCTTCCCGGCAATCAGGAAGCCAGGTAGCAAGTAATGACCCGCCTTCCTGATTGTCTGGCTGAGAAGCCGGCTTTCCAGCCAATCAGCATGGAGCCGTCTTCCAGGCCAATCAGGAAGCCAGGAGGTGGGGTCATTACTCGGCGCCCAGCTTCCTGATTGCTCAAGAAGCCGGCTCCATACCAGCAGAAGCACCTGTATCGGTACTCGGTGTTGGCATTCATTCTACTTGAAAGTTGATTTTCAGTTTACATCACAAATTCCTTTCTGGAAAGGACTTCTTCTGAATGTAGAAACATGATGGAATCCTCTTTATTCCCAGACTACTTTTAATTATGGAGTCCCCATTTTTGCTGCTTTTATAAAATGTTTAGTGGCTCTAGTTGGATCATCGTAATACAATGATTCCTGGGGACTTATTTTTTTTATACACAGATGACCACTGTTAAGTAATGCAGGTGAAACTGGTCTAGGTACAACCTGATGAGTTGACTTGGCCAGGGGACATTGGTCCATGGACTGGGGGAACATACAACATAAAATCAATCCCTGGTCTAACTGTAGGCAATTGGATTCTTTTATGTCTAAAGAAACTCTCATAACCACATTGTTCTACTTTCAATCTTACAAATTATGCAGATATTTCTTGAAGAGCATGTTCCTTATAAATATCTGAATTTGTAGAAAATATATTGCTTGAATCCAGCATGCTAACCTGAAATGTACTTAGAAAAGGTCTGTTATTTCCTAGATAGCATTTTGTGAATGGTTGAGCTCTGTTTTATGTGTTTTTACTGAGTTTGCAACTCTGCGCTGTGAATTTAGGTAATGTTTAACCTTTTAACTAAAGATATAATAAAGTACTTGGTAGTTAGGGTTCAGGAAAAAAAGCCACGTGGAGTTCATTTAGGTCACGTCTGTCTGCACATTCACCACACGTGGTTCTTTATTCACTACACATGAGATAAAAAATTACATGAAAAGAGAATTTCATCACTCCCAAGACTCATAAGTCTTTTGCCCTAGGTGCAAACCATATGGTTCACCAAGTCCACCAGCCTTAATAGTAAGGGAGAAATAGCAACACACAAGGATTTTCTTACTCAAGAAAATGTATTGCCGCAGATGATCCTGTCCTGAACTGGCTCCTCCACTGACACATATCACCTCTTTCGTGGATTAGTTACAGCCACTCTATTATACCATTTATGTGGTTTAACTCATAATTTGTGATTGTATGAGCATTACTTACCAGACTTTCCCATCAGTTACTGTGGAACCAGAAAATTATGCCGTTCAGATTAGAAGAGAGTATGTGCTGCCATCTTGCTATGTGGGATGACAGTGTAGATATGAATCTGGAGTCCACTTATTCCACAAGTAACACTCCGTGAAACAGTTTTTATGACACATTTAGGATTAATTTTCCTTCAAGAGGTGCATTGCATCTTGGATGCATTTAAGTGTGTTTTACATGCAATATAATTTAATGCTATGGAAAAAACGATGCCAAAGCAAAGCTGGAAGGCTAATGAACTATAAGAAGAAAAAACTCTAACCCGCTGCGAGTGGGCATTGGTTTCAAACTGGACCTTTCAAGCATCACAATTTTTCCCCTTTCTTGGCAATCCAGGCTACATGCTTGGATAAGGGTCTTTTATGAATCTGTTATGGTGACACCGCAGGAGATGAGAACTAAGTTGGGTCCAGGCAGAAGATCAGGGCGGACAGCAGACAGAGAATGGTCAGAGTCAGAAAACGGGAAGCAATAGTATTAAAGCTCTTTTATACATGCAGGAAGCTGGGTTAAAGACACAGCAACAGCCCCTTGCAGAAGCTAATGCTTAAATACCCCTCTGAATCAGAGGCGACACGCCCAGCCTTACCTCAGGGCACTGAGATGTCCAGGTCTGGAATCTGTGACTATCATTAACCATACTGGCCTGGATTCTGTGAGCCATGCGAAATAATGGCAGAGCTCCTATGAGCACCATCAGAGGTACTGGCGGGTCTTCTGGAAGTCCTGATTGAGATTCTCGGAGGAGATCTGTAAAACCCGGCAGGGACTCTGAGCTTACCATAACAGAATCTTTAGGGGGCACCCTACAGACTTTGTAGAATAAAGCTAGCCTGGGAATTACAGCAGAGGAGCTGGAAGTGATGCAGTCAGCGTTGCTTCTGGCTCCATTCGGGCGGGGAGGAGAACAGCAAATTAATGCTCGCTGGTCTCTCTTCCTGATGACACCCATGATACCAGTCCCAGGCCCGCAGGAGGGGCAGTGGAGCCTGGGAAGCAAAGTAGGGGGAGCCCATGGAATCGACCTGGCGGCAGCTCGGCTGCCAGAATCACTTTCAGTGTAAAGCCGTCAATTGACTTTACACAGGTAAACAGAAGTCTGCCAGTGATGTATGCCTTACATTGCTGACAGCGAAAGAATTTAAGAACCAGCACACCATTTAAGAAAAAATATTTAAAAAAACAGCACTTGGTATGTGTGCTACAGTGTGGTAAGGTGTTTATGCATACTTGCACATTATGGTAAGAGCCCCAAAACCTTGAAACATGCACTATAGTTTCATTTTAAAGGAGAACTATGAGGTGAGTGATGTTCACTCAACCTCATAGTTCGAGCCGACGTGTGACAATGATACTGGCTGAACAGACAGTGGAGGGCACAGCTGGCTCTGTCTGTAGATAGGCAGAGCCAGCTGTCATTCACGCAGCTGGGTGGTTCTCGACAGTAATGTCGGGATCCGTCCAGGCTGCGGTGGTCTCAGTATACCGCGAGCTGCAGCTCGCGGTATACTGAGCTTTGGTTCACGGGAGGAGGTTATTATATGTCCTCCCGTGATCCTTAGGAGAACTATGGGGAAAAACACTTACCCCATAGTTCTTTAAGTTTCAGCATTGGATGAATGTACAGAAGTGATTTTATACCATGGTACTTCTGTAATTGTGTGCAGCTCAATTATGCAAGGTCACAGCCATGAACTTGGTTTACAGATGAAAGATGCCTGTCCTTGGCATATAGCAGCCAAAAATAACAACGTAACAATGAATAGGCCATTGAAAGATAAAAAAATCAAAACCAGGTTTTGCTGCAATATTCACCTTCAGTCCAGAGATTTTCCTATAGTACTTTTTTTTCTCCTTCTGTTGACATGTATGGCTAGCCTAACTCAACAAGGGGCGTGTCACACCTCTGCAGAGAAACCACTGCTTCCACACACAGAGCGAGGCTGTGGCTGCTTTCTAAAGAAATCAGATTGCAAGCTTTTATTCAGACCAGCAGCATTGTTGTAGAAGCTGCTGCATTTCTGGGAACCATAGCACACTCTCACACGTTGTAGTACATCTCAATGAGCTGCAGTACATATTAAGAGCATACAGTAAAATAAAAAAATCTATTCATTTCAGTACAGCGCTGCATGACAGAATAAATGTCAGTCAAAGTACCGCAGCGCTGAATACTGAAAAATGGCCTGGATGGGAAGGGGGTTTAACACCGCGGATGTCAACTGGTTAAGACAAAACAAAGTTGCATTGCAATGCAATTGAAAAGCGCATACCAGTGCCTGCACATTAGCCCCCATTCACACATTGCACGTCGCATTAAGGCCCCTTCCAGGCAGGCATTCCGATCAGGCCCACCTTTCAGTTTTTCAGGCAGATCTGATTGCATGCCCACTGTTAAACTTACCATACATTATGCGAATTTCGTCCGGATCTCTGAAAATGTTCCAACCAGCTCCTTCGATCAGCTGATTGAGGGATGCCGACAGCAGCACCCATGTTGCAAATTTCAGCCGTCAATCAGCTGAACGAAGGAGCCAGTTGGAAAATAATCAAACAGCCGGCATCTCATTGTTCGAGTATTCGGACAGCAGCCGGTGGCCTCTGTCAGAATACAAAAGAAACAGCAGGGATTCCTCGAACAAGGATTAAATAGAACAATGCTAGGCCAATGCAAGTAGAATTAAAGTCACTTTTTTACATATACAGTATCTACTGCTAACAAGCAGTACATATATGCAAAAACATTTAAAAAAAATAAAAAAGTTACCAAAGAGGCAAAAACCTACTTCTGTCTCCGCTGCACGCTCCCGGCTGTAAAATCTAGCTTTTCGAGTTGCTGTGCAGGAGGTTGACTGCGCAGTGGTGATCATCGATGGGGAGAAACACAGTGTAGATGAATGCACGCAGCCAGCGTGTGCATGCCAGACACCGTGGGACCCGGGGAGTCTGCGCCGGATCAGAAACCGGCACCAGTGCTGGAGGGACTCCTGAAAACTACTGGAAAGATGAAGATGATCGGATCGAGGCATCATTTAGGCTGGGTTCACACCTAGGCGTATCGAATATGCGCGTTTTGTGGTATAAAAAACGCACGACAAACGCGCATTTCCGAGGGCTACCTGGCTGTATCCCAATGGATACACGCGACAAAAACGCCCCAAAGAAGCTCGTGTACTTCTTTGGGGCGTAGGGCATTTTGTAGCGCGTTCCTACGGCCTGTAATACGCCCAGGTGTGAACCATACCCATAGGAAATAATGGGATTTCGGTGTTTGAGCGTTTTGCAGAGCGTAGGAATGCGCTACAAAACGCCCAGGTGTGAACTGGGCCTTAAGGTAAGTCCTTACACCAGCATTGGGGGGGATGTGTCTTTAATGTCACTTTACGTCTAAAAGCAGCCGGATCTAAACCTAAACGGACATGCACGCATTTACATCAGATCACTTCTGGCTCCATCTAGGTCCGGAAAATAAAATGAGAGTTCTGTTGTGGTGGACCTGATCATGATGGAGTGGAGGTAGTCTGATGTGACCACCAGACACATGCCCACTTACATCTGACTCTATAGAACAGCTCAGTTTTTTCCTCCATCACAAGATGGAGGAAAAAGCTGGACGGACACAGATGTCACAAGGGCGTGAAAAGGGGCCTTATGTGCGTTTGTTGCACATAGGGCAGACTATTCATTTCAGTGAGCTGCTCTCCAAACAGTAAAGAAGCTCATGCACCTTTTTTGAGCTTCGCGACCTTATTGCACTGCATATTTTTTTGTGCGTCTTTGTGCACTTAATAGGGTTGCCACCTGTCCAGGATTCACCCGGACAGTCCAGGTTTTGAATCATGGCATCAGAAACCCGGACACAAGATGTCAAGCAGACAGGGGCTACTGGCCCCCCACTGAAAACAGTCTCAACTGTGATATTTACATATGAATGGGTGGCGCTATTTACATATGAATAAGCTACGACTTCTCCCCAAAAAATGTCTGCGCGTCGCCTGAGTGTTCGGGTTTTCTCTTGAAGAAAAGGTGGCAACCCTAGCACTTAATGAACATGCATCTTGGCACGTGTAGGGTGTTGTTAACAGTGAATGGTACTGCAGACGTAGGTAAAAATATGGACACTGGCACTCTAGATGACAAATCAGATATATGGAAGTTGGAATGGGCAGGAAAAGCCGCTGTGTCCATAGAAAGCAGACCAGACGCTCTCCATAGAAGCCGGTGCGGAGCCGCACACAGTACACACAGCATTCACACACAGGGCTCGCTCTCCATCGCCGTGTTTTCAGGGGAGGTGCCAGCCCCGCCCCCTCCACATGGAGCTTTGTTGCTGGATGGTGCAATCGCTTTCCAGCCTTGCATCGCTGCCGGACGATCACGCGCCGAGCTCGTGGACACTCAGCCAATCGGAAGGTGCGCTTTAAGCGTTCCGCCAATCAAAGCGCGGCGCTGGAAAGTACCATGTGAAACCCACCAATGACCACAGGGCCCATCTGGTGGATATTTAGGCAGAGATGTAACGCTTGGAAAATCACAGCCGAACCATTGCGAACGTTGCGGATTTCTCCTAGTGTTATCACACATTACTAGATCAGGTCCTCCAACCCACTCTGCTGCAGACATGGACATCATCCAACAAGTGCTCAATTTTGGTGCTGGACCAGCCAAGCTGCCACCTTCGGTGAGTCCCCTGCACACATCTAGTCATGCAATTGTAAGACACCTTTGGGGCTAATCTATGGAACTAATGCAGATTTTACAGGTGTAGGTTCAGTATCAATCCATTGTATTATTCAGGCTATTGGAACACTGCAAGAGAGGCATGACTGCCAATCAGAGTCCACCTTGTATCTGTTTAGAACAGTGAGAAGGTGCAAGCTGTTTTCTGATTGGTTGTCATGGGTTAGTGCACTCTACCTGTCAGTGTGTATTTCTCATTGACAGTGCAGCACATTTTCGTCTCCTTTTCATAGTAATGATTGTTTAGAATTGAAATCTTATGAATATGTGAGCTAGTTACATACTGTGATCCAGTGATAGGAGGTGATCTTGTACTGGCATCATCAGGATCCAATAGACATAACATTACCTTCTGTGCTGCTATGTGTTTGTACTAAATCCATGAACCTGGGGTGGAATTATAGACCAGACTACATGAGTGCATTCCAGATTCAGCAATAGTAGACTATTCTCTATTAGAAATGTCCTGCTACCCATTCTCCTATTTTGATGGGCATGGCTAATACTAATTGCAATGATGCTTGTTATATTGCCATTAGTAAATCTGCATCTCCACTGATGCAGTGAACATGTGCTTGACACTTTGCGTTCTGCATGCCTTTTGTAAGCATGTCACAGTTCTTAGCAGAAATGCAGCAAAATGGAGTCCCCGGGATCTGAGCATAGGGGGTTCTGGCTTTATCTAATTCATTTCATTAAACATTGTCTTCTTGTAGGTTGTTTGCTGTCTGATGACACTTTTTGTGTGTGTGCATTCCACTTAGTATTCTGATGGTGTCGCAGTGCTCCTAGATTCTGCAGCGGCAAGCTGGAATTTGTTCAGCAGCATGATTAATCAATTCATTTGGTTCATTGGATGAGAAAATAAGACCGCAGAACAGGTCTGCTGTAAAGATTTGGAGGAATGCATCTGTAGGAGAGAGATGGAGCACACAATAGTGTGTTTGTTCTGTTTCTGCAGATAGAGAGAAGACTCAATCCAGGGAGAAATTGCATCAGCTGTCACTGTCTGACCAATCCTAGGAGGAGCACACACAAGGGGTGTGGTTACCTTGGCAGTGTATTAGCCCGAGTAACAATGCATTTGTACTGTCAGCATTTTTTCCAAAGACTTAATCACTCGCTGAATTTATTTTGGACACTTTGAATTCATAATCTCATTTCATGATGAATGCCTGACAAAGCAGATTCCAATTCCAAGTGAAAAGACTGCTCTCTTCATTCTCACTCCCATCAACAGATAGCAGAAATTTGCAAAGGCTTCATTATTACAACATTATAAGCAATATACACTTATTGCAATTTATAAACACTGTACATATTTTTCTATGTAAAAATAATATGTGTATATTGTTTAACAATTTTTACTTGTTTTAATTTGCATGTATAAACAGATTAAGGGGGGCACACAACTCCTATCTATACCAGTCTTTCTCAATCAGGGTGCCATTGCATGCTTGTGTGCCTTCTGGCTTCCTTTGGGGTGCCTCAGAATGTTGTGGTAGTGAGACTGTGATGTGAAGGGGGCCCTTGATGTAAAAGGGAACGCTAATATAAAAGTGGGGCTCCTGATGCAAAGGGTGACTGATGTGAGGGGAGGAAATCTTGGTGTGAAGGGGGAAACCCACTTTTTTTGTGTGGGGATCCCCTTCAAATCAATGAGATTTTAGACTGGGTTGCCTAAAGATTTTGCATACTTTAAAGGGTGCTGTGACTAAACCCCCCACTAATCTATACCAATAACTGAGCCAATTCTACATTTACCCTTAAAGGAGAACTATGGGGTCAGTGTTTTCCCCCATAGTTCTCCTTAGGGTACCGGGAGGACACAAACTATGTCACAGGTCGGCTAGAACTATGAGGTGAGTGGAAATCACTCATCTCATAGTTCTCTTTTAACCCTGATATGGTATGGAGCAGGCCTTCTTCACCAAGGTTCCTCAAGAGGTTTCTAGGGGTTCCTTAAAGGAGAACTATGAGGTGAGTGCTTTTCACTCACCTCATAGTTCTAGCCGACCTGTGACAATGAGACTGTCACAGGTCGGCTCAGTAGATCGGGAGGTGAGTGAACACATACCGGGTTCGCTCACCTCTCGATCCTGTCACGGCTCTCTGCCGTGACAGGGGGAGGGGCTGGATTCCCCTCTCCCCGCTCCGATCTGCCAGCGCTGACTGGCGGAACGGACGGGGGAGGGTGCGGGTACAGCTGGCTCTGCCTCTAGATAGGCAGAGCCAGCTGTCACTCACGCAGCTGGGCGGATCCCGTCATCTAAGTCGGGATCCGCTCCGGCTGCGGCGTCTCAGTATACCGCGAGCTGTAGCTCGCGGTATACTGAGCTTAGGGTAACTGGAGGATGCTAGTTTGTGTCCTCCCGTTACCCTAAGGAGAACTATGGGGAAAAACACTGACCCCATAGTTCTCCTTTTAAAGCCCAATTCCAGGAAAGTTACTTTTTGTTCCCTTTTGTGGTGTGGCTTTCCCCAAATTGTTAAAGCGTTTCTAAACTAGCAAGCAGTAGATGTATGCAAAAAGTTTAAAAAAAAAAACCCGCTTTAACAGCGGTTTAAACTTGGCTGTGTGTTCCCTGCGCGCTCCCGTCTGAAAATGTGAACTGCACGGGCGGCCGCAAAGCATCTAGGGGCGGGCACATACGCAGTTCACATTTTTGGCCGGGGCGCGAGGAAAGATACAAGGTAAGTCTATGGACGCGTGCACCCGCATGCAGATGCCATGGGAGAGCAGTGCCAGCAAGCTCAGAGGCGTCTGCGCTGGAGAGAAGGCTGAAAACTACAGGAAAGAAAAAGATGATCGGATTAAAAGACATCATTTTAAGGTAAGTGCTTTAATTAACGTTGGGGTGAGGGAAATTTTTTTTGCAGTTAATGTCACTTTAAGGGTTAAATGGTGGTTTATTTCCAGGTGACAGGAAAAATCTGTTTTACTTACCTGATCCTCGCTTCCCCTGGTAGTCAGCGCTCTCCTCTTCTCCCTCCTCCTCTCCGGCTATGGACTGTCCCTCGGCTTCATCATGTACAATGCAGGTTTATGGAGCCCGCATGCAATTTTATGACCTCAGGGGTTCTTATACACTGAAGCGTAGAGAATAAGAGGCTGCAGGGACCAGTCTAGCAGCCTGGAGGGAGCCGGTGGGGATTGGGTACGTAAAACAGCTTTTTCCTGTCCCCTAGACATAAACAAGTAGGTAACCCTTGCAGTGCGGGGGCAGCCATTTAAGACCAAGCGGGCACCTACATTATTATACAGGATTTATATAGCGCCAACAGTTTGCGCAGCGCTTAACATTATTGAGTTTACAAGCCTATGTTTGGATAGCTGAACTTTTATTTGTGAATTACTACATTCTTTCTTGGCAATAGAGTGCAATGAAAGAAGAACTTTATATAGATTTCAAGCTAAGAACCTGTTGAAATATCCTAACCTGTCAAGTCATTATTGTTGTTTTTTGTTCCTGTTTGAAAGATCTCCTCTCACTGTCTGTCTAGTTGACCATACAGGACGCAAGCCTCACCAAAGCATTAAAAACATCTCCAATCTATTGAAAATTGCTTTTATTATTGTCCTTGGTGGATAAGACATCCTGCTTGTTTTCTGTCAGAGAAGCCAGAGGAAGTGATGGGAAATCTCCCTAGTTCACACACAGACAACAACAAAACCTGCTAGTTTTCCCCCACTATATCCAAGTTTGAAGGGAAAAAATGTTGAACTGGAATTTTGCTTTACATTTGTTTTTTTTGTTGTGTAAAATATATATTATAATTTTTGTTTTATGTTATTTATATTTATTCTGTAGGTTTTGCTGGAAGCTCAGAAAGAATTGGTTGACTTCAAGGGCCTTGGGATCAGTGTTCTTGGTACGTACATTTCTTATTTGTATAAACAAGGTAGTGCAGCGATGTTGCAGCTAAATTGGGCATCTAATTTAGACCTCTCATTTTAACACAGAAATGAGCCACAGATCATCAGACTTCACGAAAATATTGAACAGCACAGAGGTGTTCTTACGAGAGTTGTTGTAAGTCTTTAAATTATTTTTTTTGTATGTGTATCCGTATAGATTTGTAAGCATTTCACTATCTTTATTGTAAAAATACATCTGTAATAGGTTTGTTTTTTTTTGTTTTTTTCTACAGGAATATTCCAGAAAATTACAAAGTGCTTTTTCTCCAAGGAGGTGGAAGTGGGCAGTTTAGTGGCATTCCCCTTAATATTATTGGTCTGAAAGAATCAAAATGTGCTGATTACATAGTTACTGGTGCTTGGTCTTCAAAAGCAGCCAAAGAGGCTGAGAAATATGGAAAGGTCAATATTGTGCATCCCAAACTTGCAAGCTACACAGGTAAATAAAGTGGCATATCTTTTAATGTTTGATTTTTATTACAGTGTGTGACCATTGATTTGTGTAAATGGGTTTACCTGTTTTATACTAATTCAGTGCTGTAGAAATGGAAACCTGGATAGACATATTGGGCTAGGATTACAGTGGTGATTTAAATCTCTGAGTTAACTGTTTGTTGGCATTATCCTCATTTTCAGCACATTTAAAATTAATGTGATCTTAATGAGATGACGAGCATCAAGTAGTTACATTTCCTAGCTGCAAAGATATTTAATTGATTGGCCGTCCATGCATATAGCTGAATAGTGAATACTGTTGAATGATCTCCTTAGCTGCAGGTCCAAGCAGCTAGAAAAGTACAAATCCAAATAAAATGTAGACAAAAGAGGAAACGAACAAATTACAAAATTGAATTTTATTAAAGGATACCTTCAGCAAGCTTATAATAAAGCAGAACTCCTCCTGCTTAATTAGCTTGTAATGGGCACAGCTCTTCACTGTACCACATACTAACTGCAGGGCAACAAATCACTGGTATTGGTTTAGTGTCCCAGGCCCACTTTGTGGCATCTCTTCTATCAATTTTGTATCTTGGTTTTTTTTACTTATTGATATCACACAAGGGTTAACAAGCCCCTATGTGATATAAGTCGGCGGTGACAGGCTCTCTTCATGAGCCTGCCGTCTAATACAGAAGATGCAGCACAGCATTGTGCTACATCTTCTGTACAGCTCCGTTTGTGACGGCTGACACAGGAAGCGCCGTGAACACAGCGCTCCTGTGTCACTGATCACAGAGCGGAGAACAGACGTTCTCTTCTCTGCTCCCGGCTCTCCATCCTGACATACTTTTGCTGTCGTCTTGGGTCCCCCAGAAAAGTGGGGTAGCCCAAAAACCATGGCGGGGAGGGGGTGGACCTTGGCACACTTGTACAAGCAGCCCTGCATCGGCGCTATGTATCGATGCATTTTCACAAGTACTCATGAAAATGCCCTGTACTGGCCCCTATACCAATACTACTATCGGGACATCCCTAGTTGTGTGTGTGATAGCACACAAACTGCTGCATGCTTTGTAGTAAGTGGGCTGTATTAGACAGAATGAGGGGGATTTTCTAAGACCGGCACAGATAGAATCTGGAGCAGTTGTGCATGGCAACCAGTCAGCTTCTGGCTTTCATTGTCAAAGTTTTAACTGATCAATCTGAAGAGAGAAGCTAATTGGTTAATATGCACAGCTTTATGTCTCCTCCCAGTTTTAAATTTGACCTTCTTTTTTTTTTTTTTTTTTTTTTTGTTGTAATCTGTCTCACCCAAGATATTATAGCACACCTGGATTTACCCAAAGTGAGCAGATACCCATAGTGATCAATTAGGTTTGTCTGTTTATCCTCAATGGTGAAACAAGGGACCTCAATGGTCACTAGTGTCAACTACTTGTTTTTCTCAACCTTTTCTATATACATAGTTACATTTTTACATAGTATCTGAGGTTGAATAAATACACATGTCCATTGAGTTCATCCTTTGTATATAAAACCTCCTTTTTTATACAGCAAATTTCATAAGTGATAAAATGCTTTCTAAATGTTGAATTTAGACATGTTCCAATAAACCTGTCATGTACTGTTGGGTCGGATTGTCCTATGACTTGCACATGTAACCGACTGTCAGCTTCCAAACTATGGCAGTTGCAAGATGGAAAGAAGTGAGGAATGCAATGGATCATCTAATCTGTTGTAACTTGTAATGGACCTTGGGATTTCAACTGGCTGCCACATAATTGTAGTTTTGTTCCTGTTCAGTCATCTGTAGTTTGAAATTGTTCAGGGAGATATTAAGTGCTCAAGATGTGCAGACTGAAAGACAAGATGTCAAGCGGGCCTTTCCAGTTAGATCATTCTGGAACTGTTAGAAATGGCCAAATGAAAGAAAAATTATATATGTTGGTATTGAAATCTTATTTATCCTTTTTTGCAGAAGGTTTATTCCAGAGAATTCCAAATGGAAAGACACAAACACCGGGTACAAAGCAAATAGGGGGGGGTTAGCCAACAGTCAGGAGCTGAAAGAGGTCAAATAGTCAACAAAATTGGGGAGGTTGGGAGTAAGATATCCAGGGCTGCCAGACAGTTAAGGATTTTGCTTGGGTGTCAGAAAAGATAGCCGTCAACCACGTTGAAGCTCAAACCCTTATTTATTTTACGTTTTTATTGTTTTAGAAATTCCAGATCCAAACACGTGGAATCTTAATCCAGAGGCTTCCTATGTGTACTATTGTGCCAATGAAACTGTTCATGGGGTGGAGTTCCAGTATATTCCAGATGTAAAGGGAGCTGTACTTGTTTGTGATATGTCCTCAAATTTCCTGTCTAGACCCATTGATGTTTCAAAGGTTTGTATGATTTCCTGTAATGGTTCTTGACTATTTGGCTGTAATTAGATTGATAGATATTACTGGTGCACACAGTGTTTATGTGCTACTTGTTCTATCCTAAACAATAATTAATTATTTCATATTTTATGACAAAGTATTCTACGTAGACATGGTTAAAAAGTATCACACTATTGACAAAGACTTGTATTTATTCAAGAATGGTAGTGTTGGTGTTACTTAAAGTTTAAAGCAGGCCTACACCTTTAAATGAGCCCTTACTTATTAGGTCATCTGCTGCACCATATACTGCTTGGCCAGAAATATCTTGGTCCAGAAATCCCAAGAACTACTCTCCATTTCAGTAGTGGTCCTTAATTGATCTCCAACAGAGTGATATTCAGGCACAGTCAGTCATATAAAAGCTCTCCATAAACTCTTGAGAAGATATGTCCAATGTCTTGGCTCTAAACACATCAAACATAGAATTCCTGGACAAGGGGGAGAGAGAGGGAGAGATTGGTTGTTTTCTCCCAAATTTGCCAGGCTAGGAGTGAATGTATTTGTACACTAATGGTGGATTGTGGTGGGGTGCGTGAATGAGACCATAACCATCCACTAACTTATTTGCTTTTTGTTGTCTCTAAGGCCTTGTTCACACCAGATGCAGTGCGTTCCGGACCGATTCTGGCCAGAACACACTGCCATGCATTGCGGCCGGCTCACTTTTTTGAGGGGCAGGAGGGGGCGTGGCGGTCCATTGAAGTGAATGGGACCGCCCTCCGGCTGCAATGCGATCGACTGCACGGGATCACAAGGCACATTTTGCCTGCAGTCCGGTGCAAGCACTATTTTGTTGGCATCAGAGCGCAGGCATAATGTGCCTTGTGATCCCGTGCGGCTGACCGCATTGGGGCCAGAGGGCGCGGCTACGGTGCCATTCACTTCAATGGACCGCCACACCCCCTCCTGCCCCTCAAAAAAGTGAGCTGGCTGCAATGCGAGCCAGTGCCTTCTGGCCAGAATCGGGCCGGAACGCACTGCATCTGGTGTGAATGAGGCCTAAATGTAAGGTAAATAGTCTTCTGGTGTCTGCTAAATTTCATATAGTAATTATGGTTCCAGCAAGGACATCTGGAATGGGGAAATAGTTCCCCATACCTGTCTCGATGAGATACAAGTTGCAAGAAGGGGATTGGTTCTGGAGGCATTTACTGAGAACTAAGATATCAGAGTAAGCTTCCTTTTGTGCACTTCCACCGTTACATTTAAGTCATGTACACAAGTTGCCTATTGTTTTAAATCTGTGTGCGTGTGTGATTTATAGATGGCCTAAAGCAAGATACAGTACTTTCTGAGTGGTTGCTTTTGGCTACTTTTTGCCCTACGTTTTATTTCATAAACCTGTATGTATGCTATGTTTATACATAATTTAAGCCTAAATGGTCCTTACAGTCTATTCTGCTGATAAACTGCTTCAAAATAAAATAATGGCTGTTTCCAGAGAGGAATTTTAAAACAAAATACTCTTTCCTGACTTCTTGGACATCCGAAGATGTTGGTAAGGTAAACCGATATATAATAAACAATTCAAAAGCAAGTGTTAAAAGTGCAGTAAGCCAAGTAACCAATCCGAATTCACTTTATAAAAGCTAGACTAGTGCAGTATCGGTTTTAGGTACTGCCAGTCTTAGCACTGTGTTAATAGATAAGCCTGAGAAAGTGAGCATAAGGGGTTTTCTTTAAAAAAAAAAAAAAAAAATTGTGTTTGGGCTAGTAACCAAAAACCATGTTCTCTTTTAAAGCATTTCCTTTCTTCTTTTAGTTTGGACTTATTTTTGCTGGTGCTCAGAAGAATGTTGGATGTGCTGGTGTCACAGTTGTCATAGTGAGGGAAGACTTGTTGGGCTTTGCATTGAAAGAGTGTCCTACAGTTTTGGATTACAAAATCCAGGCAGGAAACGGGTCATTGTATAATACTCCTCCATGTTTCAGGTAAACATAGGATAACTGCTGTTGGCATATAACACATGCTTGTTTACTATAAACTACTTTAATTTGGTTATTATGATTTAATTTCCTCCCCTTTTTTTTTTTTTTTTTTTTTTCTCCTTTCATCACATGCTTGCATGCCGACACATGGTAATTTCCTCCGTAAACGGAATAGGGAGAGTAGTGCATGCTGCTGTTTTTATTGTGTGTTGTTTCCATGTACATGCTTTCAGAGCATAGGCTAAATATTAGAGAATTGCAGAGATTTTGTAAAGCTATGTGTTCTTTGACCTACCGGTAATTGCCTATTTGCCAGAACAATTTTCAGCAATGAGAGCTGAAAATAACAAACTACTGTAATAGGAAGCTGGCACTGGCATGGTTAACATGTACCAATGCCAAAAAAGTACAATGGGGAGAGGGTCTTTTCATGCTGTTTTGAGGGCAACATTGTCTATACACAAATCTATTCAATAACCTGCTTACGGGATGCTTGAAAGCCGTATGCGTTCTTCCTGAACAGTACGGTTTTCACGGACAGCCTCGGCAACACAGTCAAACTGGAAAACTGGACATGCATAGTTGTGAGTTTTCTTTGTTTGCATGACTTAGTTACAGCAGCTCTCCCACATGATTAATTGCAGGTTTTTTTTTTTTGTTTTTTGTTTTACTTTTTTTATTTTTTTTTCCCCAGGTATTTTATCAAGGTTTCTTTAACCAGTAAATAGAAATTGGCCAGTAGTTCACTGAGACCATTCCTGTACTTTCTGGTGCAAAATTGTCCAGCTGGATAATTTCTATCAAATGACGAATTAAGAGACCGCAGATGATACAGCAGTGTAAAAATGGCCAGGAATGTTTGAAGGAAAACCTGGCCAAATTGTACTATACAGAAAGAGTAAATGCAGGTGTTTCTGTGCAAGAATTTAGAGACCACAGATGACCCAACAGTGTACAATTGGCCAGCAGCAGGCCAATGTTAGTGAGCAAGGCTAGATACAAAGAGCATAGGCTGGGATTTTACTAGAAGAATTAAGATTCTGTAAAGGATACAGCGGTGCAACATTGGCCAGTAGCAGGACAGTTTTAATCAGAAATAGGCCTATCTAGTTTATGCCTAACTTGTATTTTTACTATAGGGTTAGGCAGGTCTGGTGAATGTGACTGAATTATATTGAGGTGGTTTAGGTGCACACTATACTTACACTTGGCTGTGTGGTGCGGTTTTTGAGAGAAGCCTTGCTGCAAAAGAAAAGTTTGCTATGGACCAAAAAGCAGCTAAAACCGACCGCTGATCTCCAATCAACCACAAAATAAAATCTAAGATAAAATAGCTCCAATAGTTACAAAGGTGCTGATTTTTCCAAACGGCTAACATTCAGAATTAAAATACAATTTTTCCTAACTGATCCTAATCTCTTCCTAGGCAGTTTGTCAGCTTTCCCTACAGCAACATCCCTTACACTGACACTATGGCTGCCCAGTCCTGCTCCTCCCCCCCCCCCCTTTTTTATAGTGAGGGGGCTGGCTTTCTCACAAGCCCCCTTTTGTCCTTCATAATTTAGAGGCCACAGAGTACATTATGGTTTAACAAAAACCTTCTCGCCGAATTTGCACACATCTCCATTTCAAATGTGAATCTCCATCCCAAATGATTTGACTTGAGCCAATGGTAGCAGCAAACCCGAACCCCATCCCCAATGGTGATGACATGCTTGTGAAACTGAATTTTCCACTTGCATTTTCTGTTTAGTTTCAATTATTTTTTTTTTATATTCTGTCTGTAGCTTAGCATTTACGTTTTCAGTTGTTACAGCGTACAAATGCTTTAAGTGGACCTGTGAGCTACTTAAGCCAAACATTTCTTTTTTTTTTTTTTTTTTCTCAATTTCCAGTATCTATATAATGGGACTTGTGTTGGAATGGATTAAGAATAATGGAGGAGCTGCTTGCATGGAAAAGCTAAGCATCCTCAAATCAGACATGCTTTATAATGTTATTGATGAATCCAATGGATTGTATGTGTAAGTATATTTATTTTTTATTATGCTGTTATTTGTTCAAGAACATGTACAATGGATGAAGATAGTGATTTTGGTAATCAGGGTTGCAGAGCAGTACTTTGCAGTGTAAACCTCTGCTCTTCTCCTTATTTACATCTCCTCTTATCACCTATCTGGGTCATTCCACATTTAGATATTCTCTGCAGTGACGAGCGCCTCTTTGGCTCCAGTGTCAATGATGAAATTTGGTGAGAGTCTGTGAACATGGCAACCTAATGCAGGGTGGGAAATTTTGGAAGGACCCAGGTGATTAAGGGACCATGGTGGTGGAGCTTGGAGGTGAGACCGTTTTAGGTCGCTGTGCAGGTTGGGGAGCATTGGGTAGGTGGGATGCAGTAAGCAACCTGGTTCGTGGAACCTGAAAGTGTGTTGCGGTGGTATGGTGGTGCTGTAAAGCAGTGCTCCCCAACCTTTATCGCCGCGGACCGGTCAACGTTTGATCATTTTACCGCGGCCCGGTAAAAAAGATTGTTTTGATTTAATAATTTTAATTTAATTGTATTTAACACCGGGACCGTGCACTGATGCAGTGATGCTGGGGTGCAAGAAGGAGAGAGACTGTGTTAGCAATGTAGGGTGGAGGGATCTATGTCAGTGACATGGAGGTGTTGATGGAGAAAGGAGTCTGTGTTAGTGATGTTGGGGTGTTGGAGGGTGGAGGGGTCTGTGTCTGTGATGCCGGGGTATTGGAGGCCAGATGGTCTGTGTCTGACATAAGGGGAGTTTCTGTGTCAGTGATGTAGGGAGTAATGGAGGGTAGATGGATCTAGGTCAGTGACATCAGCAGGGTTTGGAGGGTGAAGCGCTCTGTCAGTGATGTTGGGGTTTTGGAAGGTAAATGGGTCTGCGGCACAACATATGGGATGTTGGTAGATAGTGTGGTCTGTGTCTGTGATGGAGGGTAGCTGGATCTGTGTCAGCGACATCAACAGGGTGTTGGAGGGTGAAGGTCTTTGTCAGTGATGCCGAGGTGTCGGAGGGTGGAGGGGTCTGTGTCAGTGATGCCGGGGTGTCGGAGGTTGGAGGGGTGTGTGTCAATGTTGCTGGGGTGTCGGAGGGTGAAGGGGTCCTGTGTCAGTGATTCCTGGTGTTGGAGGGTTGACGGGTCTGTGTCAATGATGCCGGGGGATTGGAGGGTGCTGTGTCTGTGACATAGGGGCGGATTGGAGGGTGCAGGGGTCTGTGACGTAAGGGGGGATTGGAGGATGAAGGGGTCCTGTGTCAGTAAGCCAGCCCGAGACAACGAGCGGTGTGTCAGGGGGAGAGAGGACGGCTGGAGGCGGGCGGGCACATAGAGCAGAGAAGGCTGTGATAGGCGGTTGCCAGGAGATGGACGCTGCAGGTGGGGCTTGTGACACACACGCCTCCTGTGACTCACCTCCCCTCCCGCCGCCTGTTACTCTGGACGCGGCTGGGAGGGGAAGTGAGTCACAGGACCCGCCCCCTCACTGAAGCCCGTCGGCAGTGCGGGGCCCCGGTTTTCGAACACCGGGACCGTGCACTGCCATATATTGCATGACCAGACCGCGGCCCGGTACCATTTGATCCACGGACCGGTGAACGGTCCGTGGCCCGGGGGTTGGGGACCACTGCTGTAAAGTATCCATCGTTTCAAGCTCACTCCCGTGATGGACTAACTTCAATACAAATTGGTAAACTAAACATGAGATTGTAGTCCATCACAGGTGTGAGCTTGAAGTGGTGGTTACTTTATAACACACACAGGGACCATGGGGAACAAAAGTAGTCACCCTCCAGAAGGAAGGACAGTGTCTGCACCAATTCAGAGATGATTTGAGGATCTACAGCTGAGTGATGCATAAAAATACATTTCAAGTACCTTTTAACTATTAATAAAAATGTAGCTTAAGATTTACCTTCTGAGTTTAGTGTCACTTTAGGAGACATTTATCAAGCGACAAAAATTAGATGCAAATCAGAGTGCTTTTGAGTAGGCAAAGTCTGAGACTATTCTTGTGTGTACTTGTGACTAATCCTGGAAATGAGACCAATTTTCAGCATGAGGAGACAGATTTTAGTTAACACATGAACAATGAATACGTTGTCGGGGCAGGTTTTTTTTCCATTCTAGGTACTTTAGAGCAGCTGAAGGAGGAATTAATCTCTCACTGCTCCTGTTTAGCATTGCCTTGCTATGGTTCAGAACTGATACTTGCCCCCTTGTGTTCTGGCATGTTTATGAATGTTGCTAAATGGTTATATTTTCCACTTAAAGCAATAAAACCTAGCGCTTTTTTGTGGTATAGTTGATCAATGTCTCTTATGTCCAAATAGTAAAAACGAAATTGTACTACAAATAAAATGTGAAAATTGGTTTCTGTGGAGAGGAGAGATTTCAATTCTTGTAAGTTCAGTTATTTTGTGCTTTTATAGTCTTGTAAGTTGTGTGTGGGTTTTTTTTAAATCTAATTGGAACACTGTACCTGATTTTCAGCTGTCCGGTGCAGAAAAAGAGCAGGAGCAGAATGAATGTTCCTTTCCGCATAGGAGATATCAAAGGTGATAGTAAACTAGAGAAGGAATTTCTGGACCAAGCAGCAGCACTTGGCATGCTGTCTCTTAAAGGACACAGGTAAAAAAAAAAATGGTTCATCTTCTTACTTCTTCTTCTTTTTTTTTTTTTTTAGTTGTTTTATTGTTCTCCCCCCTCCCCCTCCCTTTTTTTAAAAGCTTAAAGTTGTACAATTCCTTTCTTTGCAGGTGATTTTTTTTTGGGTCTCATATTTTGGGTACAATTACCTTGCATCTAACATTGTGGATAGATACTAGTGAGATCAGCCACTGGCTTCTCGTACTTTTTGAGAACTTCGATGGAAAGATCCGCCTGCTCAGTAATGAGATAGACACGCAGATCTCTCCCTAACTAATGTGTGGAGAGCTATTTGCCTGCCCTCACATTAGTCTGCTGACTTCTGGAATACCCTGTGGCACTCAATGTTTAAGATTGTAAAAAAATCTTTCTCGTTCACTAAGGGACACAAAGCCAAATATTGTCAGGTTATAATGCTGCCTACCGCAGGATTGTGCACTGGCAGACAAAAAAATTGGTAAACCAGATTCCTTGCTACACTGTCAGTGAGCTGGTCTCCTCCTATGTGACGGCTATCTGGAGTGGCCTTTCCTCAGCCTAGCTTTGGAGTGCCCAACCCACACCCCACTGGACCGGACATTGCAGGACTAGTGTGGAAGTGACCTTTGGACACTGGTTTCTGCAATAGGTGTTTTTCGGACCCTGTCCTGGTAGCAAGCTTGGCATGGAATGTTTTTGCCTCTGCACCTGCCCTGTCTTTTTGGTCTACTCACAGTGAGCATTCAATCAGACTGAGCTCTGAGAGCGATCTCCAATAATTGCACCGTTGAATTTCCCACTTTCCACCAATTTTACTGTAAAATGGGGTAATTCAGAGGGACCAAGTGCTGATGTCACGTGCTAGGTGGAGCATTGGGCACACTTTCTCACCAGTCAACGTAGTGGAAGTATCACCCCCTTCTGCTGCTCCTACTTTGCAAAAGAGGCACATGGAACTCCAATCTGGTCTGTTCCCACTGCCGATCAACAGTGACACTGATCACCTCCAACTTTCAGACCCTTATTGGCTAGCAGCTGCCTGGGTTTGTGAGCACTTGAAGCCTTGGCTTGTACTCTTAAGTGAGATTGCAGTGTGTCTATCTAGACACAGGATGGACCTGCTGCAACGGGTGACCCCCAGCTCAAGCTCTCCTAATAAAAAAAAAAAAAAAATCCCTGCCCTTATTCATGCGGTTTGTACTACCCTTCATCTGGAGAATTAGCCTATGGGTCTTTTAGAGTCCTACAACTGTAAAGACCTTACACCCCACTACACCTGCAATTCCAGGTAATTCTCTATGCAGACTACAAGCACACTGTAAGGGTTCCCGACCCCACCTGAGCATGTGTTAGAACTGTTCTACTTTGGGAGGTCATTTGTTACATGATGGTCTATAACCACGGTGGATATGTCAACGACCTTTAACAGGGAAACTACTAGGCTTACCCTTTTTAAGGATTTTGCTGGCCAACAGTTGGAATCCCTCTTTAACACAAAACCAATTGAGGGAAATTTATCAAAACTGGAGCAGACAGAATCGGGAGACGTGGCCCATGGCAACCAACCAATCAGCTTCTCTTTCTTTTTCTAGGATTAAGTGAATAAACTGAAGAGAGGAGCTGATTGGTTGCCATGTACAACTACTCCAGTTTGGCCAAATATAGTTTTTGTTTTTCTATGCAGTTCTTTTACTAAAAATTATTTGTGTTTCAGATCTGTGGGAGGAATACGGGCTTCACTATACAATGCAGTAACTGTGGATGATGTTGAAAAGCTTGCAGAATTCATGAGGCACTTTAAGGAGACTCACCAGTGAAGAGCAGACCTGCACAGTTTTCTGTCTTTTATCTTTGTATCACTACTGTACAAAATATGGCACTTCAAATATAAGCTATTTTCATAATGTATAAATCCTCATTTGTAAACCTAGCTTGTTTCTTTTGTATTGAGGTCAAACTATTCTCATTTTTTCTTTTTGTTTCTCTTTGGTTACTTTTTGGTGTTGTGATTGCACGCCTATATTTCTATGCATCTGGGTGTGTGGGACCATAGTGTGGCCTTTTGGATGACTGTTGAAAACCATAGCGGTAGTAAGTGTAGCTAGTTCACTTTGAGATGCGTAGCCATTCTAAAGTAAACCTGTGAGTACAGAAATGAGTGCTAGACTTTTAGGCTTGCCATACTAGAACCGATTTCCTCCAACACTAACAGTGTGTCACTCGAGTAATCCCGCTGTTTACATTGTATTCTGACAGGTGCCGGCGGCACCTGTCAGAATTCCCGACAAGAGCGGGCAGCTCATTGGCTGCCGGAACTAAACGATCAAAGATTTTCGGACTGGCTCCTCCGTTCAGCTGATCGAAAGGGTGCCCTCGGCGTCACACACTGTACAAATTTCGTCCGACATCCGAACAGTGTATGGGCACCTTAATGCTATTGCTAGTTCCTTGATTGTCATACTTCTACTCAAGCTTTACTACTTGGCAAGCCAGACACTTTGTATATGGAACAGAACTTTTTTGGGCTTGTGACTCGTGCAAGCTCAATTAAAGGCACAGAAATAGATATTCTGTGACTTCTTACAGATGGACATTGTGCTAATACCCTACATTGTCAGTCTTTTCTCCACTATCCTGTTATATCAGTTGTGCAAGGTGTTTAATTGTGACTGCACAGTTCATTGGGCCCAGGATTTTACTGTATTGCTTAACGCACTCCATAAAACAGATCTGGTCTGACCCGCCACCTCTCTTCCTCAATACTAAATGTTTGAGTGAGGATGATGGTCATGAGGGGTGTGGTCATTACTTGGCTATGTCATCATAGAGCACTGTTTTTTAGGATAGGAGGCACATGTCCTCTAAAAGCAAAAGCTATTTTAAGTGAACATCTGTTTAAAAAAAAAAAAAAACCAATTCAGTTGGGCTTTAAGCAATGAATCTGAAAGATAAACATGATATCCAGTTAACTTGTAACTTCTATAGGAAACGGTCAATGGCAGCAACAGTATTTCTGTCCCAATGGGTTTGGACTGGTGCACACACATCTGCGGCTGTTGGTGTATCCAGGACATGAATTAATTGATTTTTTTTTTTTTTTTTGATCCATTCATTCATCTCTGTTTACCTGAAATCTAGCTTCATTATGAGCCGGCAGACACCAGCTAACAGTAATACAAACAGGCTTGCAGTGAGAATGCTTGCTCTGTAACCTTTCACCAGCCATTTAAGCATATTTCAGCCACTGTTGGTGGGGTTTAGGTGTTTTTACAGAGGATTCTTGGTGAAATTCACTAGGAGTCCTAAGAGTAGAGTAGTAGAAAGTAACATGGACTTGCGGTACTACAGAGTGATGGCAGTTGTTGCCCTGCTGTGCCTACCATCCAGTCCATACGGTATATTTGTATTTTTTTACTTTTATATATATATATCTTTTCACTGGTACAAGTTGCTGTATAACTGTTTATTTGGCTGGAGTTTTTGAACAATGTGCTTGTTTAGTCAGACCACATCTTTTTTGTGTAATACTGCATTTTTTCTTTTCTTTTAATTTTGTCTGTAAATAGAGGTCAAAATGTATTGTCTTGAGACAATTTAATGTACTTGCATATTTTTGTTATGCAAAATGAACAAAATAAAATGTCTTATTGTGCAAATTCCTTTTGTGTGTTTTTTTTTATCCTATTAGCAAATTGTGTTCATTGTGGGTATAGGACAGGTTAGGTAGATAATAACATATGAATGTTTGTGCAGAGCAGACTGTACTATTGTCAACAGCATAGCTGTAACCTGTGTGCATCTTAAGGTGCCAGACACGGCACGATTTCTCGTACGAGAATTGCGGGAAATCCCGCGATGGTACGATAATCATGCAGTGTATGCAAGGTGTGCAACCGTTTCTACTGTATGGTCGCACGTCTTCCGTCGAACCAGCATGCTAGAAAACCCGCCGAGAATCGTACGATTCTCGGCGAGTTAGTGGCCTGCATGTTCGACAACTGCCGAACGGGCCGGTGTGCGCACACTGCCTGTGTGCAGTCATCGTAAGCCCGCCCCTCGGGGGGCGGGATTGCGATCGCAAGTATGATCTGCCTGTCCAAGATGGGCAGATCGTACGTTTTTTAATGTACTTTACAACCCTCGCAAGACAAAAGTCTTGCGAGGGTTGTAAAGTGTATGGTCACCTTAAGAGACCCCACAGCCAGCATCTTTATTGCTGATAAGTGAGCTTGACTATAACCTCAGCAGAGTTGGTAGACTGGGAAAGCAGATGATGGGGGTCCCTGGACAGACCACATCATGGTTTATGTTCACACCGTGTTTCCCCAGCCTTGTGGTTGTCTGGGAGAATGCCATATCTATGAAATGTCAGTTGCATTCTGGGTATGACACACCAATGTAGATATTTGCTAGTTAGTACATTATACAGTAGTGTTGGCTGTCCTGTTGCACCTTGCATACGTAGAACAGCACATAACTAGGTATATGGTCTCCTTTTTGTAGCACAGACTAAAGGCCCATTCATATTTTGCATCACACGCAATAACTCTCATGCATACCGTAGCTGTAAATGAGCCCTTTTATATTTTCCTTTTAAGAATACATTTATTTGAGAAGATATGGTGTGGCTGGCTTAATGACCCTGCTTTTAGTCCTGCACAGACTCTGGAGATTAAAATCCTCAAATTTAAGTGGCTGTATGGCATCTCCTAAAATATATGTCGGTAATTTGAACATTAATCTCATAGTTACACTTCCAAATGCTCCCCCCACTTTTTGTGTAAAAAATATAGGTTTTGGGCTATACTCGTCATATAAGACGAGTATAGCCCAAAATAATGTTTAAATGCACCCACTAACATCCATGGCGGTATTCCCGAGTGTGGCTCGGGGGTAATTTTCAGTAACATAAGCAGTAAACCCGAGCCACAATCGGGAATACAGTCTCTTACCTTGTCTACGATCCCCGCTGTGTCCTCCGGCTGCTGCTGAGTCAGTCACGGCAGGCTTTCTATTCATTAATACAAGCCTGCCGTGATTGACTCAGTGCTGAGCCAATCAGTGCTGAGCCAATTCATTAATACAAAGCCTGTATGAATGAATAGAAAGCCTGCCGTAATTGGCTCAGCGCTGAGCCAATCACGGCAGGCTTTCTATCCATTAATACAAGCCTGCCGTGATTGCGCCGCAACCCGTGATGCTGCCGTGATGGCGACCCGTGATTGCCGTGATGGCGCCGCGACCCACTGCAGAAGGGCTTGCGACCCACTTTTGGGTCGCGACCCATGAGTTGAGAACCACTGCTGTACATCATGGCTATGTTGGTAGTTTTCATACATGTCTAAGAAATTGGTTGCAGACCGCATATCACTGTTGTCATGTACTGTACTTTTTATTTCTTTTCTCTGTAGAACAAACTATGGAAAAACTGAATGGCTTTGTTCTCAACATTAATAAATGGAAACAAATTTTCAGTGCATATAATGTGTGAATCAACCACATACAGTGTATATACAAAGTTTACACACCCCTGTAAAAATGACAGGTTTTTGAGATGCAAAAAATTTCAGGGCAAGATCAATCACTTCAGAACTTTTTCCACCTTTTTAATGTGATGTAAAAAATCTGTACAATTCAGTTGCAAAACAAACTGAAATTGTTTAGTTGGGTTTTATAATTGGGGACATGGCGGTGTTCAGAATTAACCAATCACATTCAAGCTGATGTTGACTAGTAGTCAGTACACACCTGCCATCAGTTAAAGTGATGGATTAAGCCCATATAAAGTTCAGCTGTTCTAGTCTGATTTTTCTGACAGTTGCCTTTTAGGGCTTGTTCACACCATGTGCGGATCATGTCCAGACCAGATAGTTTGTTCCCGGACCTAAAAAGCATTCCAATGTATCCCTATAGCAGGGTTCAAAATTTCAAGTCCTGAGCTACTAGCCAGGCCTTAAAAGTTACTCACCACCAGTTGCCCCTACTCACCAATTGCGAGGGGGCGAGTGGAAATTTTGAGCCCTGCCTATAGTATTGATGGGCTCTGTTCACACCAGCCCAGTCAGTTCTAGACCAGACAAAAAATACTGCTTGTTTCAATTTATCTGGTCTGGAATGCATGGAAATGCATCATAAACTCAGTGGACTGTAATCAAACAAAACAAGCGATAAAATCGCAGCAAAAAGTAATGCACCTTGTTCCAGATCTGGTCCGGAAAATGGTGTGAACCAGGCCTTATAGCAAAAGCCATGGTAAACATAGAAGCATCAAATTGATCTGATTGTTGGAAGGCATCAGTCAGTGGGGTAGGGTTGCAAGACAGAAGCCTTCTCTTACTTACTAAACATTGAAGCTCAGTTATATTTTGCAACCACCTACATAATGTGTGAAAAAACCATGCGGGAAAATCTTATGGTCTGATGACACCAAGGTTGAACGTTTTGTCTATAATTCGAAAAAGTATGTTTGGCACAAAAACAACATCAAAAGAACACCATACCCACAGTAAGGCATGGTGGTGGTAGCATTATGCGTTGGGGCTGTTTTCCCTCAGCTGGAACTCAGGCTTTACTCAAGGTGGAGGGAGTTCTTAACTGTTCCAAATATCAGTCAATTTTGGCCTCTGCTAAAAAATCTTAAAATAATATTCACCTTTCAGTCTGACAATGGCACAAATCAACAAAATAATGGCTTCACCAGTAGAAGATCAATGTTTTTTTAAATGGCCCAGGCAGAGCCAGGACCTGAATCCATTTGAAAATCTGTGGGTTGACCTGAAGTGGGCAGTGCACAGAGGATGCCCTCACAATGACAGGTTTTTTTGTCTGGCATTTTTACAGGGGTGTGTAAACTTTTTATAGTCACTGTAGGGGAGAATGGGATTTTCACTTTAAAGTACATGTTTTTTCAGTAAAATTAATGTTTTACAGCAGGAAACAGACAAGTGGAAATGACCACAGCATTGAGAATGATTC